CTAAGACTAGCCACGTGAGACGTCTCAAAAACAACCTCGCTACACGTGACTAGCTGCCTGCGTTATTCTAAGACTAGCCACGTGAGACGTCTCAAAAACAACCTCGCTACACGTGACTAGCTGCCTGCGTTATTCTAAGACTAGCCACGTGAGACGTCTCAAAAACAACCTCGCTACACGTGACTAGCTGCCTGCGTTATTCTAAGACTAGCCACGTGAGACGTCTCAAAAACAACCTCGCTACACGTGACTAGCTGCCTGCGTTATTCTAAGACTAGCCACGTGAGACGTCTCAAAAACAACCTCGCTACACGTGACTAGCTGCCTGCGTTATTCTAAGACTAGCCACGTGAGACGTCTCAAAAACAACCTCGCTACACGTGACTAGCTGCCTGCGTTATTCTAAGACTAGCCACGTGAGACGTCTCAAAAACAACCTCGCTACACGTGACTAGCTGCCTGCGTTATTCTAAGACTAGCCACGTGAGACGTCTCAAAAACAACCTCGCTACACGTGACTAGCTGCCTGCGTTATTCTAAGACTAGCCACGTGAGACGTCTCAAAAACAACCTCGCTACACGTGACTAGCTGCCTGCGTTATTCTAAGACTACTCACAAGATCCTGAACCTTCTAGAAGTAGCTCGTTTTTTTTTTTGCCTCCCTCCCCTTCCCCCACACCTCCCTTCCCTCCCACTTCCCCACCACAGGTCACTGTCCCCACGATGAGGTTCCAGAGCAGTTGGCGTACCACATGGACCAATGGAGTTGTCTTGCACACACACACAGGCTTCCCGTTTGTAACCCATCCCGCCCGCCATCCCTCCACTACCTCCCCTTCTCTTCTCCACCACAGACCACTGCCCGCATGACGAGGTACCTGAGCAGGTGGCGTACCTCATGGACTAACGGGCTCATCTCATCTTGTCGTGCACACAAAATTCCCATTCATTACCCATCTCCCCCGCCGTCCCTCCCCCGCTCCCCCTTTTCTTCTCCACCACAGGTCACGGCCCGCCTGCACGATGAGGTACCGCAGCAGGTGGCACACCACATGGACCAATGGGCCGGTTTTGCATTCACAGGCTTTCCTTTCACTCCCATCTCCATTCCCCCACATTCCACCCCCTCACTTCTCCCCCTTCCCTTCCTCAACCACCACAGGGCACTGCCCTCACGATGAGGTCCCAGAGCAGGTGGCATTCCACATGGACCAATGGGCTCGCGCCACGTGGTGCTCTGTGGGTGAGGAGGAGAGCGACCGGCCAATGGGAGTGCGGCGCGCAGCAGCAGCGGCCAGATCTCCTGCCGATGCTTTGGAGATTCTGGAGGAGGAGGCAGCTGTGGGGGTGTTTGGAGGGATATTGGGAGGAGGGAAGGAGACTGGAAAGAAGGGTATAAAGGAGTAGTCAGAAAGAAGCAGCATTAGCAGCGGCGGCGGCCAGGTCTCCTGCTGATGCTCTGGAGATATTAGAGGAGGCGGCAGTTGTGGGGGTGTTTCGGGGAGTATTGGGAGAAAGGAGTAGTCAGAAAGAAGCAGCATTAGCAGCGGCGGCGGCCAGGTCTCCTGCTGATGCTCTGGAGATATTAGAGGAGGCGGCAGTTGTGGGGGTGTTTCGGGGAGTATTGGGAGGAGGGAAGGGGGCAGGAAAGAAGGGCAAAATTGAATAAACAGAAAGTAGACGAAATCGCAGTAGCAGCAGCTGGTGTTGCGGCCAGATTTCATTCCCATGCTCCCTAGATTTTGGAAGAGGACGCGGCTGTGGGGATGTTTGGGGGGTGTATTGGGGAGTGGAGGAGATGTGGTGAAAAATGGGCTAGAAGAGAGAAGGCAGAATGGAGAATGGAAGAAGTACCAGGGCGTTACGTACAGTAGTAGCAGCAGCTGAAGCGGCAGCAGGAGCAGGAGGTAGGTCTTCTGCTGATGTTCTGGAGATCATACTTTCAAGTAATTTATATGGGTGTGACAGGTAGGGGGGGCTTGGCAAAGAGAAAGAAGAGAGGAGAGAATCTAGGTGCTCATTAACACGGCGGGACTCCCTGAAAAATAATAGAATGGATTTTCTTGATTGTATTGTTCCTTATTCATGCAATTGATTTTTTACTGTCAAAACCAGTTCTTACGAGTACGGGCGCTGAGATGTCAGACCAAGTCTCGACAACAACTCAATCCAAGATAGTCTTCCCGCCAAAATATTCGCCAGTGAGTTGGGCATTTTCTCCTGTTACACTTCTCAGATAGACATTTTTACCCAGTCCTTCCTATCACACGTAGCTCGGCTAAACCTGTTCAATTAATCTGTACACTCCTTTTTCCGTTTCGGTCATGGCGACAAACGCGCTTCAACTTGCAACCCCGCTCCCTCGCGCTCCGCTCCGTAAATGCCGCGCCCCCCTCTCGTTGCGCGCAGCACTCTCTCCAAGAGGCTCCGTCGGAAGTAGGCGATTAATTACCGTCTCCGTTCCACCGCCTCCCCCTTCCGCTAGGCGATTAAAGCGTGCTCTAGTAACATGCGACGCGGCTCTGGGAAACGCGCCTGGAGGAGAGAACGGCGCGGCGAAGGCGAACGGCGGGTCTGGAGATGGGGCAGACGAGATTAAGGACGTCAGAAAAGGCGGCGCGAAGGAAAATGCGGCTGTAACGAACGGGCGGGAAAGTCGCCAGGAGAAGCGGGACGATCAGGTCTGGGGGCGGCGTCGTTTGTCAGATCTGGAGCGCGAGATTCTCGGAGTGCAACGGGGGGATGGGGTTCCCGCCTCCCCCAAGGGGGGAGCTTCCGCTCCCCCCAGGCCTAACGCTCCCCCTCCCCCTTCCGCGCGCCCGCAGCTTCGCAGAAGGTGGGAACGATTGGGGGGGAATTTGACAGGTTTTCACACTTTTTCTATTTCTGTGCTATTATCCCCTTAGCAGCAATTCCAATGTTTCCCCTCCTCCCCCCTCCCCGTCCCCTTCATTCTCCCCCACCGCCCCGCCCCTGGTCCCCCAAAAACAATATTCTCGAACGAGCAGGCGTTTTGCAAGATGAGAGGGGGGGTGGGGGAGGAGTATGGAGGAGTGGAAAGCGGTAAACGATCTTGAATTGACTGAAGCCGCTCACGTCCCACCTCTCCCTTTGCTTGCCTCTTCACCTCCCCCCCCCCCTCTCTTCCTCCCTCCCCTCTCTCTTGCATGTCTCAGGGACCCTAATTCCAACCAAAAGTCCATTTTGGATGAGCAGGGGTTCGGGTTGAGACATCACTTCCCCTATTCCTCTCCCCTTCCCCCCTCCTCTTTCACTGCCTCCCTCCTTTCCACCTTGCTCTCTCCAGGGACCCTAACTCCAACAAAAATTCGATACCGTATTGGATGAACTGGATGAGCAGGGGTTTGGGCGACTCAGCAGGGGTACGGAGGAGTGAAAAGCGGTAGACGATCTTGGATCGACTCAAACCCCTCACGCCCCACCTCTCCCTCTGCTTCTCTCTTTCCCCCTCCCCTCTCTCTTGCATGTCTCAGGGACCCTAATTCCAACCAGAAGTCCATTTTGGATGAACTGGATGAGCAGGGGTTTGGGCAGCTCAGCGGAGGTGTGGAGGAGTGGGAAGCGGTGAAGTCCGCTAAGAGGATGGGCGAGTGGTTGGAGGAGAAGACTATCAAGAAGGAGGGAGAGGAGGGGATGGCAGGTGAGTGAGAGAGGACGTGAAGAGTAAGTGAGGGAGGATGTGAGAAGTGAGTGAGAGGGGATGAAGGGTGATTGGGATATTGAATAAATGCTTCAGGGAATGCTTCCGGTTCCCTTAATGTAGTTAAGGGAACCGGAAGATGGAGGTTAGCTTAATAACCAATGCTCGAAAGTACCGTGGTTCGAGGGTACCGGGGTTTGGGGTATAGGGTTTATGTTTCAGGGTTTGGGTAGTGCAGCAGATGAATTGTAATCAAGAAGGCATGAAGAATCTAGGGCGCAAGGGCGCAAGAGGGTGTTTGATAGTTTCAAGGTTAGGTTGCCAGAGGAAGAGAGGTGGTGAGGATTTGGACTACGAAGTTGATTCAGTTCAGGCCTTACGGAGGAGCGAGGAAGGATAAATGGTTTGTGGGAGAGTGGCCGTGTAATTGCAAGAAAGAAAGCAAGTCTTGCGTTTTTCCACCTTCATCCCACTACACCAGGCCCCACCGGCCCGGTTTCAGGCTTGTGCTGCTTGTGGGAATTTGAAGTGTAAAACAGACTTCCACTTTCCCATTTTTTGAATCTCAGATCAAGTCATGCCGCTTCCCACCTTCATCCCATCCCACTACTCCAGGTCCTCCTCAGCTCAAGTTCCTTCTTCTGCTGCTTCTGGGAATTTGAACAGCCAAGAAACCAACCATTTTTTTTATCTCAAACAAAGTCCTGCCTCTTTCCATCTTCATCCCACTACACCAGGTCCTACGCTCAGCTCAAGTTCATTCTTCTGCTGCTTCTGGGAATTTGAACTGTCAAGAAACTAACCATTTTTAAATCTCAAACAAAGTCCTGCCTCTTTCCATCTTCATTACACTATACCAGGTCCCCCGCTCGGGTTCAGCCTTGTGCTGCTTCTGGGAATCTTCCCTGTCTGGCTCTTCCTAGTGCTAGTGGCAGGGGGATGGGTGGAGCTGCCTCCACAATTATCCTCGTTACAGGACCTCCTCACTACCCCCTAGAAGGTTCATATATGGTACAATACCAAACAAAGGGCTTTTTGGTAGTTTTACTGTTGCATAGTCCACACCTAAGTGGGGGGGCGTATCTTGGTTCAGTAAGAATACCTGCATGTTCAAAATAAAGTATGGTATGCATTAGTAAGACCCACTTAAGGGTGAATATATTCGTATTTTATGTCATCATGCTAAACAGTTGGTTGATACCGTATGTACTGCAGTTCTACCGTATAATGCAGAAGAGAACAAATCCTTTGTTACACCCGCATGTCATTCTGATTATGTAGAATTACACACCGGTCGATTCTGTTATGCCGAAACGGATACACGTAACAGTGTGGCGGTTACACACGGGGGATGATCCCCATGCGGGGATAAGCAGCCTGAATAGGACAAGGCACAGACGAATTGGGGAAGGAGAGGGGGTTTTGAAACGTGTTAGGAAAAGGTTGAGTGTGAATTGAAAAATTAATGAGTTGACTCAGAAGTCACCCGTGGGATAAGCAGCCTGAATAAACTGAAGGATCGGAAGAAACATGAAGAGAGATGGGTTTTTGGAATGTCTGCCGTAGAAATGGGGGAGGGGGAGCGAGGGTTGGGAGAGGAGGGGGGAAGGGGGGGAAGGAAGCACCGTGACCATGCGTAGAAACCAGGCTGCTTGGTTGGTGGGATCCCATACATTTGCGTTGAAACTACGCTTCAACAACATAGCAGGTAGAGCCCTTACAAGCTGGCGCGGTCGGGTTTGCTTAAGCCCTGTGCCCTTGCCCTTGCTGCTTTTATCGTTTGCCGTTTTTGCTGTGTTTGGGGTGTGTGGGGCTGCGATCAGGTCTTGAAGCTTGGCGCGTAGTGCCAGGCGCATCTGGGTAGCGAGGATGGGGTGGGGTGGGGTGCGGTGGGGTCGGATGGGAAGGGATGAGATAGGATGGGATGCGATCACACAAGCAAGGACATCTGTTTTGTAGCGCACTTCCATCATGAGGAAGATGGGGAGGACGGGGAGGATGGCAAAGTTGCTAAGGGAGGATCTTCCTCATGAGGGAAGTTGCACACACAACACAATCACATGCGTACACATGCACACATGCATTGACCATGCAACGACCTCTGCTTGCAATCTCACCTGCAAGGCTTCCTGTGAGCCGCCCGATTCGTGCCGCATCCCCACCACGAGGAGGCCGGGGAGAATGGCAAACACTGAGTTGCGTGGATAGGCACACATGCACACATGCACACATGCACACATGCATTCTTGCGATCTTGTAACTGCCACGCACCTGCAAGGACTTGTGTGTGCCGGCCCGATTCATGCCGCATCTCCAACATGAGGAGGCCGGGGAGAATGGCAAACACTGAGTTGCCCACACAAGCACATATTTTGGCCATGCGGTGAACATGCAATGACCGCCTCAGCCTGCCATCGTACCTGGGAAGACTCATGTGTTCAAACGAGCATTAGTGTGAACACGCACCTGCGCCATGCACCCATGCATCGAGCAACGCACCTGGATAGACTCCTGTGTGCCCCCTGATTCATGCCGCATCTCCACCATAAGGAGGCCGGGGAGAATGACAAAGACCTGCATCGGAGCATGGAGAACGCACAGGCATGCATGTAAGTATGTATGCAGAGGGACACAAAAACGGGCACACATTCACACATACGTCCACGAAAGGACCCATTCTACCTCCACAACTACAGCTGCAAGCAACGACAGAGTTTCATTCACTCACACCCACAATTGTGCTGCCGGTATTTCCCTTACCTCCACAACCACAGCTGCAAACGATGAGTTCTATGCACTCCGATAAACATACCCATCCTTACCTCCACAACCACAGCTGCAACGACAGAGTGCCTGGCCACCGCAGGTGACATCTCCACATCTCCACCCAAAAGCCCCCCACCCACCCTCCCCCCCTAAAAAAAAAGAAGTCCACATATCCGCAGCTGCCAGGCTACCCCAAGCCCATGCATGTGCCCGTCCTTACCTCCACAACGACAGCAGCAACAACAGAGTGCCTGGCCACAGCAGGTGACATCTCCACATCTCCAGCTGCACCAGAAGCAGCACCAGCAGCAGGAGAAGCAGCAGCATCAGCAGCAGGAGAAGCATCAGCAGCAGGAGAAGCAGCAGCATCAGCAGCAGGAGAAGCAGCAGCATCAGCAGCAGGAGAAGCAGCAGCATCAGCAGTTTCTGTCGTTCCTTCCGTTTCTGCCGTTTCTGCTGCCACTGAGGGTGTGGCTGCATCTGTTCCTCTTGCTACTGCTGCTGCGACAACTTCGTCTGTAGCTTCACCTGCATCTGTTGGGTCTCTTGTTATTGCAGCTGCTGCAGCTTTTGCAGTTTCTGCAGTGTCTGCCGTTTCTGCTGCCACTGAGGGTGTGGCTGCATCTGTTCCTCTTGCTACTGCTGCTGCAACAACTTCGTCTGTGGCTTCACCTGCATCTGTTGGGTCTCTTGTTATTGCAGCTGCTGCAGCTTTTGCAGTTTCTGCAGTGTCTGCCGTTTCTGCTGCCACTGAGGGTGTGGCTGCATCTGCTTCTCTTGCTACTGCTGCTGACGTAGCAGCTGTTACTGGGAGAGTAACTTCTTTATTGGTAGCTGGTGCCGTTACTGCTGCTGCTACTGCTGGTGCCGCCACCGCTACTGCTGCTTCTGCTGCTGTTGGTGCTAGTGCTGCGTGTCTCAACTCAAGTCGGAACTGTCCAAAAAGGCAAGAACAGAAGAGGGAAAAACGACAGGGAGGGATCACAGAGGTGAGCTTGGACAGCGCAAGAACCAGATGGGTAGTAAGAGAAATAATAGTAGACACGTTGCTTCTTTCCCTCTTTTTCCTTTGGGAGGGGTTATGAAAAGGGGTGGGGGGAGGGGCGAGGGAGAGGGGGGGTGAGGGAAAACATGAGCACAAGCAGAAATCCAATTTATTCGCCACCCACCTTGAATCCCTCTCTCTGCACGTGCCAGCCCAGCTCCCCTGCTACTACCTCCACTCTCCCAACCAGACGCCCCACTGGTGCATGTGACAAGAACCGAGTCTGCTTATAACGCCACACTTCCTCCTCCTCCATTCCTTCCTCCCTCCCCCGCACTTTCGACACACCCTCCACGTTTACTCCTCCCTCCCCTCCTCTTTTGTCTCCCCCTCCTCCTGCTCCACTCTCCCAGGGTCTCTGTTTTTCCCGTTTCCCACCGAACAAGGCTGGGCTGCTAAACAACCCCCCAAGGTCGAATCCTTGAGCCAAATTCAATAGAGCAAAAGCATTTAACGTCTCTGGTCTCGATCCTTTCTCCCATGCCCCATCCTCCCTCCCTACTCCTCCTCTCACCCCTCCCCATTCCCCTCCCGTTCCCCCCGTTCCTCCCCATCCCCCACCTTCCTCCCCACTGTCTTCCCCACTATCCTCCCCTTCCGCCTCCCCTTCCTCTATAGTCCCACCAACCCCGCCTCTGCTGCCCCTCATACCCCTTACAGTCACACTCGTTACCCCTCTCACGCCTGCTGCCAAAAGATGCCTGTCCGCATGTGCCTCCTCACATGCACTGCTACACGGCAAAGTTTCGCTACAGGGGAAATCCTCGCTACAACCAGGGTAATGGCATGCTGTCGCGCCCTGACACACACTGGCGTGCGTGCTACAGCCGGGGTTGTAGCACACACTCGTGCTGTGGGTGCTGTGAGTGCAGCTTGGGCAGCAGCAGGCAGTACTGTTCTGGCTACAGCTACAACTTCGGTTGTAGCATGAGTTGGTATCCTGGCTACAGCTGGGGTCATCTTGGCATGCATCACTTGTGCTGCTGTTGAGCCAAAACCCATGGATGATTGTTGGACTGCTGTTGCTGCTGCTCCTGCTCCCGCTCACGCTGGAGCTGGTGGTGGCAGCACTGGTGGTGTCAGTGCTTTTGCTGCTATTGCTGCTGCTGCTGTTGCTGCTTCCGCTACTCTTGTTGGTATCATTCTGCACACCATATGGAGTGTGCTCCACTCCTCTTCCACTCTTGTGGTTGAGCGTAGGAGTCAACCCTCCCAGCTGACAAGACAACCCCCCTCTGTGTGAACCCTTCAGGTCCCCAGGACCTTCTGAACCGGTCTGAACCTGCTGCTGCTGCTGCTGCTGCTGTCCAGCACAGGTAGCACAACCACTGGTGCCCACACTTGAACCACTGCCCTTGCAAGTCCCGGTAGCATTCTCACTACCAGCAAGGGCACTGCCAGCACTACCAGCACTAACAGCACTGCCGGCAGCAGACTTGGCTGCACCAGAAGCAGTGCCAGAAGCAGCACCACCAGGAGCAGCGGATTTGACAGCACCAGAAGGAGCAGCAGCAGCAGCAGGAGCAGCAGGAGCAGCACCGAAGGCAGCATCAACATCGTTCATGTTGTCGTCAGCAGTATCAACAGGGACCGGCACGGGAACATAGTTGGTGCGGAACCATGCATCCTTCTTTATCTCCTGATACCGATACCTCTGCACATGTGAGGAGGGGTTGAAAAGTAGAAAACACAAACCTCAGTGGTCAGCAGTATCTACAGGGACCGGCACGGGAACGTAGTTGGTGCGGAACCATGGGTCCTTCTTTATCTCCTGATACCCGTACCTCTGCAAAGGTTGGGTGGGTTTGGGTGGAAGAAGGGATAGAGAGATAGAGAGACACGGGAAGACGGCACCAGGTGTTAATGAATGTATTAACCGGCATGGGAACATAATTGGTGCGGGCGGGACGATGGGTCCTTTCTTATCTCCTGATAGCACAGGGGCCAGCACAGGGGCCAGCACAGGGGCCAGCACAGGGGCCAGCACAGGGGCCAGCACAGGGACCAGCACAGGGGCCAGCACAGGGGCCAGCACAGGGGCCAGCACAGGGACCAGCACAGGGACCAGCACAGGGGCCAGCACAGGGGCCAGCACAGGGGCCAGCACAGGGGCCAGCACAGGGGCCAGCACAGGGACCAGCACAGGGACCAGCACAGGGACCAGCACAGGGACCAGCACAGGGACCAGCACAGGGGCCCGCACAGGGACCAGCACAGGGGCCAGCACAGGGGCCAGCACAGGGGCCAGCACAGGGACCAGCACAGGGGCCAGCACAGGGGCCAGCACAGGGGCCAGCACAGGGGCCAGCACAGGGGCCAGCACAGGGGCCAGCACAGGGGCCAGCACAGGGGCCAGCACAGGGGCCAGCACAGGGGCCAGCACAGGGGCCAGCACAGGGGCCAGCACAGGGACCAGCACAGGGACCAGCACAGGGGCCAGCACAGGGGCCAGCACAGGGGCCAGCACACGGGCCAGCACACGGGCCAGCACAGGGGCCAGCACAGGGGCCAGCACAGGGGCCAGCACAGGGGCCAGCACAGGGGCCAGCACAGGGGCCAGCACAGGGGCCAGCACAGGGGCCAGCACAGGGACCAGCACAGGGGCCAGCACAGGGACCAGCACAGGGGCCAGCACAGGGGCCAGCACAGGGGCCAGCACAGGGGCCAGCACAGGGGCCAGCACAGGGACCAGCACAGGGACCAGCACAGGGACCAGCACAGGGACCAGCACAGGGACCAGCACAGGGACCAGCACAGGGACCAGCACAGGGACCAGCACAGGGCCAGCACAGGGGCCAGCACAGGGGCCAGCACAGGGGCCAGCACAGGGGCCAGCACAGGGACCAGCACAGGGACCAGCACAGGGACCAGCACAGGGGCCAGCACAGGGGCCAGCACAGGGGCCAGCACAGGGGCCAGCACAGGGGCCAGCACAGGGGCCAGCACAGGGGCCAGCACAGGGGCCAGCACAGGGGCCAGCACAGGGGCCAGCACAGGGACCAGCACAGGGACCAGCACAGGGGCCAGCACAGGGGCCAGCACAGGGGCCAGCACAGGGGCCAGCACAGGGGCCAGCACAGGGACCAGCACACGGGCCAGCACAGGGGCCAGCACAGGGGCCAGCACAGGGGCCAGCACAGGGGCCAGCACAGGGGCCAGCACAGGGGCCAGCACAGGGGCCAGCACAGGGGCCAGCACAGGGGCCAGCACAGGGGCCAGCACAGGGGCCAGCACAGGGGCCAGCACAGGGGCCAGCACAGGGGCCAGCACAGGGGCCAGCACAGGGGCCAGCACAGGGACCAGCACAGGGGCCAGCACAGGGGCCAGCACAGGGGCCAGCACAGGGGCCAGCACAGGGACCAGCACAGGGACCAGCACAGGGACCAGCACAGGGACCAGCACAGGGGCCAGCACAGGGGCCAGCACAGGGGCCAGCACAGGGGCCAGCACAGGGGCCAGCACAGGGGCCAGCACAGGGACCAGCACAGGGACCAGCACAGGGACCAGCACAGGGACCAGCACAGGGACCAGCACAGGGGCCAGCACAGGGGCCAGCACAGGGACCAGCACAGGGACCAGCACAGGGGCCAGCACAGGGACCAGCACAGGGACCAGCACAGGGGCCAGCACAGGGGCCAGCACAGGGGCCAGCACAGGGGCCAGCACAGGGGCCAGCACAGGGACCAGCACAGGGACCAGCACAGGGACCAGCACAGGGACCAGCACAGGGACCAGCACAGGGGCCAGCACAGGGGCCAGCACAGGGGCCAGCACAGGGGCCAGCACAGGGGCCAGCACAGGGGCCAGCACAGGGGCCAGCACAGGGGCCAGCACAGGGGCCAGCACAGGGGCCAGCACAGGGGCCAGCACAGGGGCCAGCACAGGGACCAGCACAGGGGCCAGCACAGGGGCCAGCACAGGGGCCAGCACAGGGACCAGCACAGGGACCAGCACAGGGACCAGCACAGGGGCCAGCACAGGGGCCAGCACAGGGGCCAGCACAGGGGCCAGCACAGGGGCCAGCACAGGGACCAGCACAGGGACCAGCACAGGGGCCAGCACAGGGGCCAGCACAGGGGCCAGCACAGGGACCAGCACAGGGACCAGCACAGGGACCAGCACAGGGGCCAGCACAGGGACCAGCACAGGGACCAGCACAGGGGCCAGCACAGGGGCCAGCACAGGGGCCAGCACAGGGGCCAGCACAGGGGCCAGCACAGGGACCAGCACAGGGGCCAGCACAGGGGCCAGCACAGGGGCCAGCACAGGGGCCAGCACAGGGACCAGCACAGGGGCCCGCACAGGGACCAGCACAGGGACCAGCACAGGGGCCAGCACAGGGACCAGCACAGGGGCCAGCACAGGGGCCAGCACAGGGGCCAGCACAGGGGCCAGCACAGGGGCCAGCACAGGGACCAGCACACGGGCCAGCACAGGGGCCAGCACAGGGGCCAGCACAGGGGCCAGCACAGGGGCCAGCACAGGGGCCAGCACAGGGGCCAGCACAGGGGCCAGCACAGGGGCCAGCACAGGGGCCAGCACAGGGGCCAGCACAGGGGCCAGCACAGGGGCCAGCACAGGGACCAGCACAGGGGCCAGCACAGGGACCAGCACAGGGGCCAGCACAGGGGCCAGCACAGGGGCCAGCACAGGGACCAGCACAGGGACCAGCACAGGGACCAGCACAGGGACCAGCACAGGGGCCAGCACAGGGGCCAGCACAGGGGCCAGCACAGGGGCCAGCACAGGGGCCAGCACAGGGGCCAGCACAGGGACCAGCACAGGGACCAGCACAGGGACCAGCACAGGGACCAGCACAGGGACCAGCACAGGGGCCAGCACAGGGGCCAGCACAGGGACCAGCACAGGGACCAGCACAGGGGCCAGCACAGGGACCAGCACAGGGACCAGCACAGGGGCCAGCACAGGGGCCAGCACAGGGGCCAGCACAGGGGCCAGCACAGGGGCCAGCACAGGGACCAGCACAGGGACCAGCACAGGGACCAGCACAGGGACCAGCACAGGGACCAGCACAGGGGCCAGCACAGGGGCCAGCACAGGGGCCAGCACAGGGGCCAGCACAGGGGCCAGCACAGGGGCCAGCACAGGGGCCAGCACAGGGGCCAGCACAGGGGCCAGCACAGGGGCCAGCACAGGGGCCAGCACAGGGGCCAGCACAGGGGCCAGCACAGGGGCCAGCACAGGGGCCAGCACAGGGGCCAGCACAGGGGCCAGCACAGGGACCAGCACAGGGACCAGCACAGGGACCAGCACAGGGGCCAGCACAGGGGCCAGCACAGGGGCCAGCACAGGGGCCAGCACAGGGGCCAGCACAGGGACCAGCACAGGGGCCAGCACAGGGACCAGCACAGGGGCCAGCACAGGGACCAGCACAGGGACCAGCACAGGGACCAGCACAGGGACCAGCACAGGGGCCAGCACAGGGACCAGCACAGGGACCAGCACAGGGGCCAGCACAGGGGCCAGCACAGGGGCCAGCACAGGGGCCAGCACAGGGACCAGCACAGGGACCAGCACAGGGGCCAGCACAGGGGCCAGCACAGGGGCCAGCACAGGGACCAGCACAGGGACCAGCACAGGGGCCCGCACAGGGACCAGCACAGGGGCCAGCACAGGGGCCAGCACAGGGGCCAGCACAGGGGCCAGCACAGGGACCAGCACAGGGACCAGCACAGGGACCAGCACAGGGACCAGCACAGGGACCAGCACAGGGGCCCGCACAGGGACCAGCACAGGGGCCAGCACAGGGGCCAGCACAGGGGCCAGCACAGGGACCAGCACAGGGACCAGCACAGGGGCCAGCACAGGGGCCAGCACAGGGGCCAGCACAGGGGCCAGCACAGGGGCCAGCACAGGGGCCAGCACAGGGGCCAGCACAGGGACCAGCACAGGGACCAGCACAGGGACCAGCACAGGGACCAGCACAGGGACCAGCACAGGGGCCAGCACAGGGACCAGCACAGGGACCAGCACAGGGGCCAGCACAGGGACCAGCACAGGGACCAGCACAGGGACCAGCACAGGGGCCAGCACAGGGGCCATCACAGGGGCCAGCACAGGGACCAGCACAGGGACCAGCACAGGGGCCAGCACAGGGGCCAGCACAGGGGCCAGCACAGGGGCCAGCACAGGGGCCAGCACAGGGACCAGCACAGGGACCAGCACAGGGACCAGCACAGGGACCAGCACAGGGGCCAGCACAGGGGCCAGCACAGGGGCCAGCACAGGGGCCAGCACAGGGACCAGCACAGGGACCAGCACAGGGGCCAGCACAGGGGCCAGCACAGGGGCCAGCACAGGGGCCAGCACAGGGACCAGCACAGGGACCAGCACAGGGACCAGCACAGGGGCCAGCACAGGGGCCAGCACAGGGGCCAGCACAGGGGCCAGCACAGGGACCAGCACAGGGACCAGCACAGGGGCCAGCACAGGGGCCAGCACAGGGGCCAGCACAGGGGCCAGCACAGGGGCCAGCACAGGGGCCAGCACAGGGACCAGCACAGGGGCCAGCACAGGGGCCAGCACAGGGGCCAGCACAGGGGCCAGCACAGGGGCCAGCACAGGGACCAGCACAGGGACCAGCACAGGGACCAGCACAGGGACCAGCACAGGGGCCAGCACAGGGGCCAGCAC